GCCATACAGAGCCCGGGTGTGTAAAACAAAATGTGGCTAGGGTTATCCATCCTGCCCATTCCCTGCCCCCACCCCAAAGAATCACTGAAAAATAGGCAGTGGGGGAAAGCAAAGCCAAAATGCAGGGATTTCCACTGAGGTCTGCTCCTGTTTCTGCAAAGGAGACAAACTGCCATCTAAAATGTACCCCAGTCGAGCAGCTGGCTTGAGCACATAAATGAAGCCAGCCAGAGTCCGGTTTGGATTGGCTATGGACCTGCAAACTCTTAGAAAAATCCATCAACGAATTTGTGATTGAATGCAAAAGGCTAGGAGGACTTCAGCTCTCAATTCCGTTGGGAGAACCGAAGGGGGACTTGGAGGGCCGTCAGAGTGAGCAGCCTGTGTGGCTCTCCTATTTGTGTACTCGGCAGCAGGGTCTCGAACATGGCTCGACTTGCGGCTGCACACCCATCCCAGGCACAGCAGCCCATTGGGGTGGACGCGTCTGTGTGCCTTCCCTTTCACGGCATTCTGCCTTTTCTGTTGCGTAGGGGTTTTTTTTCCCACCCCCTTCTCCAAGTCTTCTCCTTGCTTTGAGCTATTTAGCCTACAATTGTGCTGAAGTGCTTAATATTCACCCCACCCCCACCCCACCCCTTGTCAGTGTTCTCAAGAATCTGTTGGAGCCAATTTCTTGATGCATGTTCAAACTGAGTTAATATGGTAATTAGCTCTCATGCAGACTAAAAAGCATTCCCCACCCCCACCCCCTTCCCCCAAAGAGACAAGCCAGCAAATTGCATGCATGTTCCCATGATGTGGACAAATAGGTGAAAAATAGGTGCTTAGAAAGAGAGACACTCCAATTCTGCCATGAATGCAAATAGGGCTCGGAGCTAGGGAGAACAAGTGGGTTTGGATGCCAGTGCTTCAACAGTGGGCACCAGGGTGGCAGGACAAAGACAGGCACTTGGTACGACTTGGCACTTAAGGCCCCAGCTCCCGGCTCATAAGCCTGACCGCTGCATTCACACGAAGCCTGCTTTTTGAGGTGGAAGGTAGAGACGGAAACACTTTCCTCTAATATGCTCCCGGCAAGTATGCTTCCATTCACAGCAGGGCATTCTGGGATTGGTAACTCCCCCGGAGATACAGAGAGGCCCTCATCTTCGCTGGCAGGTTTCTGCCAGATCCCAATACCAAGTAGGCATCTGGCCAGTCTGCCTTGTGCCGTAGCCAAAACCTTTGAAACGTCATGTTGCCACCTCAAGGACAGTGATGTTCCAGCGTTTACACGATGACAGGCCCGGGATGTGTAACTAAAACTGACCTTTAGGAGGGAAATATCAAAAGGGCCCTTTCTCGAGATGAAAATGTGGTCGTCTCTGGGTTGAGTATCTTTGGAAATGCCACCAGTAGTTCAAAGGAATGTGTACGTGTCCAATGGTAGGAACCTTGAGCACAGTTAGGACCCCCGGCAACCATTCACTGACCAACCGTATCCCATGTCTCGAGCTAGGACTCCCAACATGCCTTGCGGGCGAATCAGTGGCATCTCCAGCAAAAGACACAGCGATCGCTTGCTCACCTATGAAGTTGTTCCACTCAATATCGAGATCGCCCTGGGTGGCCAGACAGCCCCTCATGATGTTGGAGCAGTAGTTGTAGCACGGCTTCACAGTCACCAGCCCCCGGCAGTGGGAGCAGTAGAGCATCTTCAGCAGAGCCTGGGTACACTGGGCTGTGGGGTTGACCTGATGGGAGAGAAGAGAGAGGTCGCGGGGCTGAGTGGGACACAGATGTTGCAAGTCTATCCAAGGTGGCCTTCAGGCCTTGGCCACAAATTTAACCAAAGAGCCGAGTTGTGCTTGATCACCATTAGCAGGCTGCCGTTGGCTGTCATCTGTCGGCTGCCACCTCATGGCAGCCCCCAGACACACTGAAATGGAACAACCCTGCCTGGTCTCGCAGCCTCCCCGGCATCCGTTGTGGATGGGACTGTGGTGTGCAAGCCATACAGTCTTCACTGGTTGCTTTTCAGGAGTAGACCACCAAGCCTTTCTTCCTAGTCTGTCTCGGTCTGGAAGTTCTGCAGAAGCCTGTTTGGCATCATAGCATCGTACAAGCCACCACCGTGGCAGCTGCATTTTGGGGTACACCGGCTGGGTCTCCAACCCTGCACACATTGTCTCCAATCCTGGAAGCTCCCACCCTTTCCACTCTCTCCTGCCTTCTCCCCTACACACTCACTGCAAATTGTTCACTAGTTTAGTCCTTTTCCAAATAGCAAAAGTGCGCTGTGTTGGAGACTGGCTGTACGGGACCACCAGACATAGCCTGCCATGGTTTTGCCTAGAACACAAGCACATCTTCTTCTCGAATCCACAGACGGTCCTTTGGACCAAACGACGCCATGCCGCCTCGCCCACCCCCCAACACACAAAATCAAGGTTTAAAGCAATGGAGGGTAATCTAAAAAAAAAAACACCAAAAAACAGCTGATATGATTTTGGTATCTTTGACCCTGAGCTATAAAAGTGCTGTAAACCACATTGGTTTATAAAGAAAGCTCCAGGCGTGCTCCTGGTCATCAGCCCTGTTTCTGTAGGCCTGCCCATGTGAACACATGACTGTAGTCAAATGAACCAAGTATACAGAAGAGGAAGCAACCAGAAAACAACATTGACATGAAACATGGAAAAAATGTTTGAAAGGCCCAGGTTTTCTGTTGTTCTTTGTCTTTTTTTCCCCATTTCAAATAAGAGGTGATATTTCTGTGAGGACTGACTTTAGAGGTGGTGCTGTGGGCACAGTGCAGCCTGGCGTGCTCCAGGAAGACTTGGTGGAAGAGGCTGGGCTGCCAGCCTCTGTCTTAGAAGGTGTTGCAGGGAGCCCCAGGACAGAAGGCTGGCCGGGAGACGAGAAGGAAAGACACAAAGCTCAACCACCATGGCATGCTGGCTGTGGGGTGGGATTTGAGAACGGGGTTGAGGGAATCTGGGAACGAATGTAGGTTACCCGGATTTGGGAGGGTCTTGATGACCAGGCAGAGAGATCAGCTTTCTGGTTCTCTTCCTAATAGCCCTGGTGGTGTCCACACTTCATTGGCTGCTAACTCAAAGCTTGGTGTTTCAAACCCACCCATCTGCTCTCTGGGAGGAAGACCCCTGAAAGATGACAGGCAAGAACACACCATAGGGCACTTTCACTCTGTCACCTGGGGACACTGTGAGGTGGGATCAACCAAAAACATTCTCAAAATGGAAGTTGTCGTGGGCCCCGACGAAAGGATTGCATTCTTCAATTACTCCTATCAATACTTAGAAAGATGGTGGGTAGCATAGTCTAGCAGCTAGCTAAAATGTCTGTCTTCTCATGCTCGCGCCCCCTTTTTGGGTCCACATCCAAAGGGTAAGTGCACTGTTTTCAATCAGTACAATCAATTCTCATATGGACTTCTGGAAGCAAACAGGACCACAAGAAATAGATGCCGGAATTCAGGGCAGCCCACCAATGTACTTCACCCGCTGGAAGGCAAGTTTGGATATCGCTTATTAATGCTCTTTAGAGCAGGAACAGGGAACGGGGGATTTGTACTCTCGAGGGACAACTTAACACTAGGCACACCCACCCCTGCATAGGTCGGGGGGGTGGGATAGCCAAACCAAGTGCCATTCCAACTCAGGATCAGACAGCTTCTTCTTCTTCAGAGAAGTGACTGGTTAGTTTGGAAGGCCAACTTTATAGTTAACATTCCAACACTTCCTAGACAGTAAACTGCACACACTGAAATTAACATTCCCTGCAAAGAATCAGGACCCCTCTGCGGTTTTAATCCATCTCAAATGTTGTCCTGGGCACGACATGCGTCCTTTTAGTTACGTCTTAGTGTACAGTAAAATCTTGACCCCCCCCCCCCCAAGGCCCTGGAGGAATGCCCTTCCTTGATAGCTCAGAGTCTGTTCCTTTAAAGTCACAGATTGTTAGGAATTTGATACTTGGCTGCCTTCTCATTTTACAGATGAGCAAACTGGCCAGGCCAGGGGAAGTGGCCCAAGAACCATGGGATTATAGAGGCCTTAAGAGTTGGACAGGACCTTAGGGAACCTGGGTATAGGCCTCACATCTAAGAGAGGAAAGCTGAAGCCCAAGAGATTAAGGCAGTTGCTGACAGTCACCTGGCTACATCTGATGTCAGTGGCAACATGTTTGCCCAGATGGATCATGTTTCCCTGTCATCTTAAACAGAGGACACACCAAACTCTAATCTTAGGCACCGGTGGCTCTCTTCTTCATGTGCAGCTGCATTTTCCACATTGAGAAGACTGCTAACTTGCCAGGCTTTAGCAAGGTAAAGAGTTACGTGAGGGACTAAAAAAGTCCATCAAATAAAGGACGGCAACAGCTACCATTTGTTGACTTATTACGCTTCCGAGTTGATGATGTGCTAGCAAGAGGAGATGTAGAGCTCTAACAACAACTCCGACGTGACTGAGGACCTACTATGTGGCAGGAAGAAGCCTGGGAGGGACTTGTGGTTAGGTAGCGAGACAAACATGAATTTTTATGCTAGGGTATGGAGCCTGTTCTAGAAAACACTTAGAAAGTCCAAGGTGGCGTGGCTGTTGAGGAAATGTTTTAAATTCCAGGTAGTTATCGTCCGGAAATATCCCTCCAAACCTTGACCCCAAGATGTTCTTTCCCAGTTCTGTTTGATTTTCAGTCGAGGAAGCAAGAGACTGGAATCTTACTGCAACAGCAAATTCAATCAGTTGTGCAGGAGGAGGCCGTGCAGGGCCCTGGCCTACAACAGGCCGGTGGAGGCTCACAAGTTCTCCACACGGAGACAAGACTAGATGACACAGTAGAGTTTTTATTAAGGGAAGATTATGCAGCTTGGTTTGGCGGAGCTTTTCCATTTCATTCTTTGGCTAAGTACTGGCTCGTGCTCTGCACATGATCTGTTTTGTAACGACTAAAAATGATCGCAAGGCACTCGGCTATGACATGCTATGAAAACACTAAGTAAGACCAGAACTGAAAAGAGAGATGAGAAAGTTATAAGAAATCTGGAACGAGAAAAGACAGATGCAAGACCCAAAAAAGTATGTGGGTGGGGTGGGGGGTGACGATCTGTTCTTGGCCTCATAAGCACTAATCAATGAGATCACCATGCAAAACACTTCACATGACAGGAATTCAGGACCTGGGGAACGAAGTTCTTGTGTGGCACGAGGCCCTGGCACAAACAACGAAATGGGAGAGCGATGCGTCTTGTGTGTCAATAATGTAAACAACTCCTCAGGTCGTGGGTCCCCCACCCTCAGCAACCAAGGACTAGCTCTACCGCTGAGTCCAGACTATCCCAGTAGTAAACGAACCCGCTTTCTCTCCTTGGGAATTTTCTAGGGCATCTTAGTTAAGAAGCCCTGTAGGCTGGTACAGGAGCCAAAGGCACGCCACTACAGAAATGTTAGAGGATGCTTCAACTTCTCTCCTGGAGTTCAAAGTTCAACATCTCCTTGCCAGCTGAAGCAGGGAACTGGTTAAGGCAGCTGTACCTTGGTGCGACCATCACAAAGCAAGAGACCCGAGAACTCGAAAGGCAAGGCTCACCCGAGCCATTTATCCCTCTGCCCTTCAATTAATCCCACATGTGTTCATCGGCCAGGTTGGCACAATAAACTAACTCAATCCCCAAGGGCCACACCAGAAGGACTCGACATAGAAGCCCAACTGAACAAGCTGCCTGTTCCAAATAAACAAAAGTTGACCAGTAGTTACCATGGGTGAAAGAGGAAGAGTTTTTGCTTAGGGAGTGTTGAACGTACGTGACTGGTGGTGGGATAATTTGGAAAAGGATACCGAAAGTGATTGTACAGCACAAAGAGCATAAGCAATGGCACTGAATTACACAGGTAGAGGTTGTTCAATTGCAGACTGCTTTCTTGTATACATTTTTGCCACAATTAAGAAATAATAATTACATGAATAACAACAAGTACACAGAAGAAAATGTAGAATTGATTGGGTGATAACTGTACAACTCTTCTCGATATGACTGAGATATTGAATTGTATGATATGTAGATGAAGTACCAATCAAACTATTTTAAATTTTAAAAAGTGTTTACATCTACAAAAAGTCACATTTTTTCCAGACCTATCTAGAAATAAACAATTCTCCAAAAGGAAAACCGTGAGCTCCCCTCTTGCCTCTCAATGCCACGAACCCAGAGAAAGGTTCAAGGGTCTCTAACTTGTAGGGCTTCATGGCCATGAAGGTCTTCATGCAAACTTTCTAGAGGCAACTCTTCTGCTCCGTGTCAGGGGTCTTTGTCTCGTGATAGCTACCATTGATAGAGTTCTCATTATGTGCCAGCCACTATTCTAAGCATTTTACATGTTTACTCTTTTGAGGTATCAAGGACTGCCAGCAAATCCTGCCAATCTAGCCTGGAAGCCCAGCCAGAATGTACGGGGGAAGTGAGGATGGCAAGCTCACATACTTTGGTCATGTTCTTAAGAGACCAGCCCCCGGAGAAGGACATTGTGATTGGTAGAGAGTCAATGCTGACTCATAGGGACCCTCTTAGACAGGGTGGAACAGCTCCTGTGCGTTTCTGAGACATGACGGTTCACGGCAGTAGAAAGGCCCCTCTTGCTGGGGGATCGCAGCCCAGCGTGGAACCATGGCGTGCTTGGGAGATGGTCTAGGAAAATGAGGAAGACTCTCAAGGAGATGGGCTTGGCGC